CCGCCCCTCTATCTTTCCTTCGATAACTTCTTTTAGAAGGCAGTTTCTGCGTAAAACATGACCAATCCAATTAGCCTTCCGTTTTCTTATTTCGTGTAGGATATTCCTCTGCTCACTGACTCTAATTAACACTTCTTCATTTCTCACATAATACCTTCGGGTATAGCAAAAAATAAATAATTTTCTCAAAACAGGAACAACAATGACGACTCTAACAGTGTAGGTAGCTATACATTAATATTGTATCATGTAGATCTGTTTTTAAATAATTACTCCATAAACAATGACCGTTGCTAGGTAATGGCCATAAGCAGTAACACAGGAATAATATTCTCTATGCGGTCCGAGTTATAACCTCGTGACACAATAATAGAAGAATTGTTTGGAAATGTGTTTTTTTGCAATCTGTGCCGAGATGTTTTAAATAGGACAATTATAGACTTCAGTTACTTGTGTGACAGTCGCCAGCCGGTAAGGACGTGAACACAGAAGCTGAGGAAGCTGCGATATTGGAAGCCGTTACCAGGCTACAAGCGTTGAAGATATAGCAGACTGAGAATCTTAGTGCGTACTGCATTGAATTGTAAAGTATGTAAATTAGTGATAGCACTATAGTTACATGTAGTTACGGTCTGTAAGTGTTTACTAAATACAATTACCAGTCTAAACCACATCTATAGCCTCTCATAATCATGACGGAGACACTAACCCGGAAAGTCTCGGGTATGATGAGGGAGACTAATCATTCGACCACAATATTCGCTGATATCTGCAAGGTGAATGAGTTGACTGAGTAATAAATGGATGAATTGACTTGCTTAAATTTATTTGCTGAATGTACAACATCCTGTGAAGGGGGAGTGTAACGTTCTGTCACTCCTTTACTGAGCCAATTACAGTACACTCTGAACTGAAATTCTCTCTGTAACTTCACAGTCTGTGGGTTCCATGAACTGCATGCACTAGACTGAATAGTGAGGCCAGTGCTTATTCAGTTCCATGTTTATTCTATCTAGGAACACCGTTTAACCTTACATAAATGCAGTCTCCCTGGAATGTCTATTTGGATTTTGTAATTAGGCCATAAACAGATCACAAATTGAAAACCCGCGTTTAGTAGCTACAGTAAATGCCTATAGTGTTGGACGACACCGAGTTGTCAAGCCAATAATAAATTTGTAAATCGATAGACATTTTTTCAAATCCCGCCGCATTTAACGAGTCTCCTAACACAGAGGTTCCCATGGGCCTCCCTTACCAAACCTGATGACAAACTGTATTCGAGAGGCAGCAACATCATCCGAATTTTGACCTCACGCAGGTTGCTGAAGTCGAAGATTCACTGAATACAGCAGGCCCGCGCCATAGCTCAAGCGGTTAGTCGCTGGCTTCCCACCGCGGTGACCCGGGTTCAATCCCGAGTCTGGCCAATTGGGATTTGTGGTGGACAAAGTTGCGCTGGGGTAGGTTTTCTCCGAGTACTTCGGTTTCCCCTGCCAATCTTCATTCCACTAATTGTTCCGCAATCACCCTCACCTATCATCTTGGGCTGGTACAATAGGCCAGAAGTGGCTGCAGTACAAGGGACTTAGGCCCACCCCACTAGCAATAAAAAAAGCGAGTAGAGTTTATGCGCATAAAACAGCATATACAAATACTTGTGCAAGTCTACAATACTGGGAAATTCTTACTTCTAAAACACCGATTACAGTACTAGTACAATAATAATGATATCCAGTAAGCCTATTCAATATAAAAGGGAATAAAATATATTCATTCACTCACTCACCAGATTTTCTTTTGAAGCCGTAAATTGTGAAGCTACTGAAGGACTTACGAGCATTTTATGGAACCCGAAGGTTCATTACCGTGTTCACAAGAGCAATTCACTGGTCCCTATCTTCAGCCAGATCAATCAAATCCATACCATCACATAATAACTCTCCAAGATTAATTTTAATAATACTCACCCACCTATGTTTTGGACTTCCCAGTGGTATCTTTCCTTCTGGCTTTCCCACAAATATCTTATATCTATTCCCCTTCTCCCCATTCGTGCTACATTCCCTGTCCATCGCATCCTCCTTAACTTGATTATTCTAATTATACTTGGAAAAGAGTACAAGTTATGAAACTTCTCATTATGCAGTTTCTCCAACCTCCTGTCACTTCATCACTCTTCGGTCCAAATATTCTCCTCAACACCCTCTTCTCAAACACCCTCAGTCTATGTTCCTCCCTTAATGTCAGAGGCCAAGTTAATTGCTTTAATACGTACTTTTAATCTTTATTAACACTGCAAACTCAAAGTTACTCTTTTAAGCTCGTCCTCGTTTCTGTATTGAAAATTAAGCAATATATGATTGAATTTGATGGCAAATGTTTAAATAGAAATTTTTCTACCTCTTTATAACGTTTGTCAAATGTACACATACGGTTTATATTCCAGTATTTAAGTGCCGCCTCATTCAGAGTTGCAATAGATGGAAGTCAATATTCGGAGATTCTCAAAGGTGAGTGAGTGCCTATTGTCCGACAGCTCATGTTCGTACTTGGAGAAACTCCTTTCCACATCTGCAGACACTATGGGAGTGTACTTGAAGTGTATCAAGTCACTAGCAGTAAGGTCTTCTTCAATACTGAAAGTGCTGAAGGACTCTCCTGTCAGAATTCGAGAAATGCTGCATAATGTTTCATAACCTGAGTTTTTATCCAGAACATGTTTCATTTTTTTGACAGCATTTTACCAAAGTCCCCTGACAGTTTCTCCAAATCAGTGGCTATTTTATCCACAAGAGCGAGCGAATCTTCTAGCGTTGCACCTTTCTCCTGTAAGCATTGGATTCCTTCTGTCAAGGAACTGAAATTTGCCTTTATGAAGGTCAGCTGTCCTTCCATTTAGATGCACGAGAACTGTTCCTGAGCAGCTTCAGTTGCACTCGCATCCTTTGTCTTCACTGAATCTACAGTGTCCTTCACTACCTGAAAATGATCGCAATAGTAAACTGCAGCATCGATCCACATTCCCCACCTTGTAATGACGGGTTCCGGGGGCAGTGGAACACCAGGAACCATACAATTAAAATGCATTTTACGAGCTGGAGCCTTGACGAAAATCTTCTTCGTCCTCGACACGAGATCATCCACTTTAGGAAATCTTGATCTCACTTCCTCCGTCACTCTATGCAGTGCATGAGCTAGGCAAGTAACGTGCACTAATTTCGTATAAAACGATTTTATTGACTTGCCTGCTTTTACAATATATGGGGTCGCATCTGTCACAAAAAGCAAGATGTCACCGTGTTGTATACCCTCTGGCCACAGTAGAAACATCGACCTGTCGAAGAGTTTACAAATTGTGGAATGATTAACGGATTCAAGCACCTCACTCATAAGCAGAAACACTTCACCTGGTCTGCCAATTTCCAAAGTTCGCTTCCGTATCGCAGGTCTCATCAATGGAAAAGAAATCGTCTTCCCGTGCACTTAATTCCTAATAATTTCCAGGATATTGATGTAGTACTTGGAAATATAGTTTTTCTTGAGGGTGGATTCATCCAGGATAGAACGACTACAATTCACTTCCAGAAAATTTTTCAATTTTTTCATTTTTCAAATCCCAAAACGGAATATTTGCGGACACCAGAACATCACAGAGAAGTGTCGAAAAATCCGATGACTTATTTCCAAATCATTTGCACTACTCGTATATGCTTGTTGCTGCCCATATTTTGTTGTACCGTAAAATATATTTCTGCCGCTACTTTTGTGTCACACATCTTACAGTATAAAATGTTACCGTCAGTTGAAAATATATCATCTCCAAATTCAGCTACAATCTGCTTTAAGTGATATGATTTAGATGGCTTTGTTTTAGGAATCGTGATAAAATGAATCACTCTAGTGCAGCACAGAACTGAACTTTTCACACTGAGAACCTTTCGTCAACTGCATCTTTGTCTGTACGGTCAAGGACGAGAAACTGAAGACAGACGGAGTTTTATTGAGCAACAATATGTCATGAAAAGCGAGGGATTCCGACTAGATATATTTGTAACTAAGCAAATGTTGCTTAGTTACAAATATATCTAGTCGGATTGCTGTCTTACCCTGCTGCCAGCTTAAAATGCTTTATGATATATAATTTCAGTACTTTCCGCAAAACGAACGGAAAGGACGGGACATTATTACAACTTATTATTGCATACTGTGGTAGCAGGTACTTGGGGTGCAGTTGCAGCTGCCTTTGTAGAGGCAGGAGAGAGAGAAATAACACTTTACTTGCATATTATTCACATTTCTGAAAACGTGTGAAGAAAAATTCCCTAAAATGGCTAAAATGAAAACAATACCCTTAAAAGTCTACAAATTTACCGCAAAATGACACAAAACCGAAAAGAATAACATCAAAACTTGAAAATGATGAGAAATGACAAATAATGACCTATAAATTTACATTTCTGTAACCAGCAGCTCATCTCCTGGGTCTACATATTTACGGGAATCTAATAGGATACAAGGAAGAAAAGATGATATGTCATCAAAATCCGGGCCCTGGTTATGATTAGTTATAGGTACGTTCCGGAAGTGTTCAATAAATACAATCACCAATCAAAATCCCGTTTGTAATCTCATACGTGACATATTTACATTACATTGTATTTGAGTAACTTAAATTTTATTAACTCCGATAAAACTTACAACTTTGGTGCCGGATTTTGATACCTTGGCCCTCCATTCCATCATCCAACTCAAATTATAATTCGTGTGACGTCAGACTCGTTTATTATAGTAACACATTAATGTTTTGATTACACATTTCTTATTGCTAATACTACACATTGTTAATAATCTACATTAATTTATAATTCAAGTTAATTTTTTTCGTAAATTTCTTTCCAACTTGTGCCAATATTTTATCACATACATTTTTTGTTTTCTGCACTTTGTCTTTATTCTTGCGCCCTACCATTCAAATACCTATTTCTGTATCCGTATTTCTAAAACTTTCGTCTAAATTCTATTCGAATATTTTCAATTTCAAGGTTAAGGACGTCCTTCTCTAGCTTTATGATCTCTTTCTCTTCCAATATACTTAACACTTCATAAATAAGAGCCTCTCTGTCTTTTCTGAGCTCGTTGCATTCCACTTTCATCTGGTTTAACTCATTTTCCAAAGCCGCAGCCTTCTTAGATTGCTCTCGAAGTTTTTGGACTTCAAGTTTCAGGTCGTCTTCGTCTCTCGTCATGGCCTCTTTCTCTTCTGATATGCGTGTGGTTTCATATATAAGAGCCTCTCTGTCTCTTCTGAGCTCGTTGCATTCCATCGTCATCTGGTTTAACTGCTCTTCCAATGATGCACTTCTCTTACACTGTCCTCCAAGTTTTTCTACTTTAAGGTTTAGGGCGTCTTCGTCTCTCGCCATGGCCTCTTTCTCTTCTGATATGCGTGTGGCTACATATATAAGAGCCTCTCTGTCTCTTCTAAGCTCATTGCATTCCATCGTCATCTGGTTTAACTGCTCTTCCAATGATGCACTTCTCTTACACTGTCCTCCAAGTTTTTCTACTTTAAGGTTTAAGGCGTCTTGGTCTCTCGCCATGGCCTCTTTCTCTTCTGATATGCGTGTGGCTACATATATAAGAGCCTCTCTGTCTCTTCTAAGCTCATTGCATTCCATCGTCATCTGGTTTAACTGCTCTTCCAATGATGCACTTCTCTTACACTGTCCTCCAAGTTTTTCTACTTTAAGGTTTAGGGCGTCTACGTCTCTCGTCATGGCCTCTTTCTCTTCTGATATGCGTGTGGCTTCATATATAGGAGCACTTCTGTCTTTTCTGAGTCTCTCTTGTTCCACTGCTATCAGGTTTAACTGCTCCTCCACTGGTGCGGTGTCCTTACGCTGTTCTCTAAGGATTTTGTCTTTAAGTGTCAAGATGTCTCTGAGGGGATATTTGTTTAACCAGTGAGACTTTGACTTTGTGAACAGTCTAACTCTCCCAGTAGCTGTCTTAGATATTCCCTTGAGATATTCTCTCAACTCGTACAATTCCCTCTGAATGGCTGGCGACAGTCCATCAGGGCTCTCTTTGGTCTTCAACATCTCCACGCCAGTCTCACCTTCATCTTCCTCGTTCTTTGTTTGTGAGCAGGAAGTTCTTGCGTTCCATACTTCGAGCTTGGTAAGTTTAGTCATAGCCTCTTTTTCTCTCCTTCGTTTGTTCTACCTGTAAATAATTTACATGATACATCAGTGGCCTATGATTGTTAACATTACCTCATATTTAGAAGCAGTCATTGGTCTGATGATAATCTAGGAGGTAGAAATGTACGAGTATGTAGCTTAGAAGAAAACGTATTGCAAATTATGTAACTGGTAAAGAGTCTACATCGAACCAATGCACAGTGAAAAACACAGAATATATTGTGGCGTACTGGCACTATGTAGAAACTGTTAAGCCACAGAGGCCTCGGGCACGCGCGCAACAGGAGAGTTGCGGATTGTATCGGCGCGTTGCTAGGCGACAACTCTGTGAACGCTTGGTAGAGCAACAGGAAGTGCGAGTGACGTCACTGCTTCCAATAATTTCTCTAGCATTGATTGTTTACGTGGTTCGTAACAATAGATCATTTTTTAATTAAGTCATTGCGTGTTGCTGTGTTTTTGCTTAGCAACGGATGGCGTCTCTTGTTAAGCTATTCCATCATGTTACAATATAGTCACATGTATTGGTGACTATAGACGGGGTATGGATTTATTGACAACTTACAGATCACACTTAACTATAATACTATCGCTAATCTCCATACTTTAAAAATCACTAGAGCGCAAGCCAAGATTTTCTGTCTGCTTTCACTAGTCTTTTTCGGTAACAGATCTTGACAATGGGGATTTTTCAGCTACTGTGCTCAAGTAGTTACTGTCCGGCAAATATCTAACAACTCAACTTGAGTCTTGAGTCTGAGTCTCATATTACGACCGACGGTAAGTCGGCCAGTCATTCTTGGAATAAAGCACTCATCTGGGGCTTACGACCAGAATTTATTACTGTCAGACAGATGCGGGCTTGATGATGTGGGGCGTTCTCTCTGACGAGAGGACGGTTCTGTCCTTTACAATTGCTGCTGGCCCTTGCCAGTGCAGTCATTCTCGGGTCTGAGTCTCGTGGGACTCCTGACCATATTTTGCTGTCTCAGATTCGAGACTTCCCTTTTCGTCGCCTCCNATAATTCCATTTTCGTCGCCTCCTACAACTCACACGGCCACGGTGGAGGTATTCGACCCTGCCTCCACACGGGGAATTCAACTAAAAGCAAAGTCACATTGCAACTGACGGTCAGTCAGTCAGTCAGTCAGTCAGTCATTCTTGGTGTTGAGCCCCATCTGGGGCTCATACCAGATATTTATTACTGTTTGATAGTTACGGTCCTGTTTTTGTGGGACGCCCTCTCTAACGAGAGGACCTGTCTGTCTTTTATCCGAGTCATTGTCTGCAGTTGTAAGTCATTTGTCATAANACTAGTTTCTAGGAAACGTATTGGTAAGCACATTTCCACCTACACGAATACACACGCAACAATAGAGGAACCCGTTTCTGTGCAACAGATGAGTAAATAAACAAACAACAGCATTCTTTGGAAATAGTGTTTTCTGTTGTGTCTGCTCAAAGTAATTATAATGAAGAGTTCAGTTGTATTGTCTTCAGAATTAAGTCGAGTTCCAGAGTTGCAGCAGAGAATTGAGAAGTCGGCAGTCGAAGGAGATTTAGAACAAAGGTAAGAAAGGAATTAGGCAGTGAAGAGAAGACTTCATATGTGATTTGAAGTTACAGTGAGACTCTTATAAATCCGTTGCCAGAATATGACTAGTGAAGACTGAGAACACTACTGAGTGTGTATCGGTGAACTGTAAAATGTGTGTAAGATTTGAGGTTTTCTCTGCGGTAACTATGAAGAAAGCATCCTTCTGGGATCTGGTACCGTATATATGTGGTGTTAACCGACGTTTCGGAGGGACATATCGCCTCCATCTTCAGGGTAGAAGGAAAAATATAGGAAATCCGCAGGCGAAGAAACCGTGAGAACCGGCAGAAGCAGACTGTAAAATGTGTTATTACCCGTAGTTCAGAGTGAATATACAAGGTGTCAATAAATCCAAACATCCAATCCGAAACCCGTCTATAAGTTAAGCAAGAACTCTCTAAGTTGTGACAGTATATTTGCTTACAGAATTACTGGGTTTATGGACATTTTCTCTCTTCTGGAATTCTAGGTAATAGAAAACACGACGTTTCGGAAACTGGATCTGTTTCCATCTTTAGGTGAGGAAGGAAGACAACTACTCAGTTGAGCCCCTAAGAAACAGCTAATCTCAATCACTGGAACAATTGATTGAGATAAGTCCCAAAGCTCAGTAATTCGTTGTCTGTTTTGCGATTGCTACTTATCAATGGGTATCTTCATGTTACAATATATATCATATTATAATGTTTAGGGAGAGAAAAGCTTCTCAAATGTACCACTCTCTCAGCTTACTTGCCTTCTTCCGATTGGATTTTAGGTTACTGGGCTGCCCGGTGGTCTGTTCTATTTGTAGGTCAACCTTCACACTTCTGGATCTTTATATTTTGCACGAGAAACTGTCTCACGTATACAATAAATTCAAGTAACTCGGTTCCTTTAAAAATTTCTGCTGCAACTTAAAATGGATTCGCGTACAGTCCCTTCCGTATCAAAGCAACGACTTGATAATAACAGTAAGAGGTAATAGTTTATTAGTTGCATAATTGTTGATTCGAATGTTGCGATTCAACGTCTTGTTTCAAAGTGCAGGATAGAAATAACAATGTAACATTATCCAGGAGACCACAGTAATAGTGTTAACCTCACAAGAAACAGAGTGAACCGACTCGAATAACAATAAAGCTTTAAAACCCGTTGTCTTGACTAAAGCTCTTTCTGGTTTCCTTCAGACTTTCCATGTAATTTTCCCGACAGTATTAAGATCAGGCACGAGTGTATCCTTCAATTTCATTCCCAAACTATCAATCATCTGTCATCTCGCCATTCCACACTCATACATTCTTGATAATGAAAACACCGTTAAACAGCAGAAGAAAAAATAACACACTCTAATTACGTAATAGTTGCGATTGTGAGTACGAACTAATTAACAATAGGCACTCAGCTTGACGCTGATTTTAAAATGTCTTTAAACTAAAGTACAAAAGGCAGTTAATTTCCTTTATAATATTTCGTATGCATGTGTGCTGTTATAAGGAAAGAAATGGATGCCTTTAACAAAAATCAACTTTAATCACTATATATATTGTCACGCGTTGGGTGAAATTGTGGTCAAAGGAATTTAGGTGATTAATTTTTCCCAGGACTTTTCTTTCAGTACATATTATTGTGTTATGTAAACCCATTGCTAAGTATCGAGAGCGAAATAAGAAATGTAAACAGTCGTTGCTAAGTAATAGCTATGTAAACAACGGTCGTTGCTAAGCAATGGCTGAGTAGCCATCATATGGGCACCCCAAAAACACGAACGCAACAATTATACAGCAACAGAACAAAGGTGTTTTCTGCGAGATCCGTATCAAGATGTTTTAAGCAGGACAAGTTAGGAGCTGGAGAGAGTTGGTTGAGGAGTCAGAAAACTGCTGGATTTCAGTTGTTGAGAGCCGTTGCTGCTGGAAGATGGTAGATGAGGTTGGAGACTGTTCGGGGACACGGAGGATGGGGAACTTCCGCCTTTGGAACCCACAACCATAAAATGGACAGTGACGATTTTAATAGACTAAGAAGACCTAGTGTGTCCTGTAGTGATTTCCGAACTGTGTAAATCAGTGAATGCATAATTCTTAGAAGTTATAAATAAGCGTTCTATAAATTCGATTACCAATCCAAACACCATCTACAGACACTCTGAGATTTGATATTAAGGTTAAATTTCACTGGTTATGCGTCACTCTATGAAACGTGTGGCAGAGTTATAACACTCTTAACTTAGTCATTGGATAGAGGTGACTGATACGCTTCACGCTCTGGCTGTTTTACCTCCGGGGCAAAGAGTTCCCTATAGCTGTTAGAGAGATAGGCAAGAGCTGATGTGCCCCTATGTGGGAGAGAAATCTCTTGCCTGTAATCGAACCCCGATTCATCCATCGCCCAGCCAGAAGCCTAGTCACTATACCGACTGAGCCCTTATGACTCCTATCACACTGATAAACCCTGCGGAATAATACAGCAGCATCGGTCTCTGAGGAACCTGTTCCTCGATTTCTCCTGCGGAACTAGAAGGTCGTTCTTACGTCCATTGTAAATAGGACTATAATCTGTTTCTACGCGTATAATAGCCTGTGGCTGCTACAAGCGTGTTTTGGGACTTTCTGACGTTCTTTTGTTGGTTTGCACTCGTCCTTTAGCGTCTTCATTCAAGGTTCTAGTGTTCAGTGCTCCATGCACTGTTTTATTAGCTGTAAATTGGCAATCCAACTGGCTGGCATCCATAATTATAGGCCGTGGGCTATTGGGAAATGCCCCATTCTGGTTCATGTGTGTTTGGCTAATAGGGAAGGAGGCTGCATATGGCCAATTTTCTCAGTTTTATGAAGACACTGAGATCATGGAGTAGCTTCATGAAGCCTGTGTTTCCAAACTGAGATATTTGTAATGATTTACTACTCTCGTTGTGTTCTCATTGTTGCTCCAGTATCGAAAATATTGTCTTCCAGACCGACTTAGTCGCGCCATAACTCAAGCGGTTAGTCGCTGGCCTCCCACCGCTGCGGCCCGGGTTCGATTGCTGGTCTGCTCATGTGGGATTTGTGGTGGAAAAGTGGCGCTGGGGCGGGTTTTCTAAGAGTACTTCCGTTTCCCTTACCAATTTTCTTTCCCCCAAATTCTCCATCATCATAATCACCCGGGGCAGGCTACAATAGGCCAATCAGTGGCCCCCATGCCGAGTGGACCCAGTTGGACTCCACCCCCCCCACTAAGAGAATTTTTAGCCTGTTACATTTTTCTATCGATGTTGTGCAGTGTACCATAGCTTCTCGGATAATTCTGCTGGCACTTCGTTCTAAAATACAACGACCAAACTCCTGAAGTATACCTAGCTTGTAATATATTCTGTAACAGTTGAATGCTCCGAATATACATATGGTGCTCCATAGTCCGTTCTTGACCTTC